TTCATCTTGTGGCTAGCGTAGCATCCCAACATGTTTTGTGGTTATATTACGTGCTTTGTTTTCTTAAACCAGTTGAATCACCTCAATGCATCTTGCATGATCTAAAATATTATATTGATTTATCTTAATCCGAACAATACCTGGAATCGTCTTAAGTCGTTTACAATCAGATTAAATCATGTTTAATCATCTTATCACAGTGTTAAATGGTAATCTCACATCACTAAGGAAAATCATCATTTCATAGGTAAATCCTCCAAGTAAATCGCCATGTTTCATAGCTTCCACTTTGCAAACCAGGTATTTGGCCTGCGTGAACATGAAATCCGGCGCGGCTGCGCCCCTGGCCGGCATCGTGGACCCGGACTGCGACGTGGCACAGATCTGCCGAGAAACGGCGATGCATGTACAGGAAATTACCGAGGACTGGGTGACTGGGTGACCATGAGATCAGTCATTGGGGCTTGCATAGTCATGGGGGTACCCCGCTCGAGCTGGATGGGCTGGAAAATAAGATGAGAATGGATGATTTGGGGGTACCCCCATTTTAGGAAACCCAGATGTGGGGACTAAGTTTGATGGACATCACTGACCATAAAGAAATTCTGGGATTTCATGTTATGTAGTGGGGATGCACTGAGGATATATTTTGATGGTGGTTTTGTTCATAGTTTTTTGTGCAAGCATATGACGGTGGTTCCAAGCCATTCCCTTAGTTGTTTATTTGTTGTTGTGTGAAATTATACATAACCACCAGCATTCATATAAACATATGAGTAACCGACAAATTTATTGTAATATTAATTTAGTTTGCTTCGCCTTGGCCTTTCCGAGGTTACACAAAACCTTCATCACCGGACGACCCTATACCGATACCCCATTTGTGATACCTCCGGGAATACTGAAATTCTCACAACCGATAGGGGACGACCCTAATTTGTGCATGGCATTAAATTTAACATATAATTTTGTCAGCTACTTTTGGCATGTCAGCTGGGAACCAACCAGATATTGACAAGTGGATGATGATCCCCAATGTTAAACCACAATAGTTTCAAAACTTGTTGGTGGCTTTATTTCATAGTTTTTCAATATGTTCAATCCACAGAAATGGGATGATAAGCCCCAATGACATTTAATATGTTTCAGCTGGATCGAAACCACCAATCAGAGGAGCACACGGGGCGAACACCAAAGATTGAGGCAGGGGGTGAGACAAAAATCGCTTGGGAACTTTTTTTTCTCCGGGGAAGGGGAAGGGAACACAAGATCTAGATTCGCAAATTATATTGGCATTTCACAACCATTCAATTTCAATAATGTGTTTTTCCCCTTGCCAGCAGAATGATCCAGAATTGCATCAGTTTTGGGATGGACGGCTCAACAGCCTAACAAATGTTCAACTATTTGGCACCCAAAACACTTGCAAGATGTGAGGATGGTAGAGATGTCTATTTAACAAAGTTGTGGGATGTTTTTTGGGGTGTCTCAAAACATCCAACAGGTAACAGTGGCACGCCACAAGTTGGTTTTTGAACACATCCATCTATATGGCATACATATACATATTATATATATACCAATAGGGTTTACCCTCGATGGCCTAGTTGTAAACCATCTTCCGAACCTTTTTTGGGGCATCACGGCATCGCAGGTGAAAGAATTCCACGACAAGGCAGTGCCACGTTTTTCCTACATCCCTGGTTTTTTGCGGTTCATCATGACTGAAGTGTTGAAGAACAGTTGCCGCGCCACAGCAGAAGTTGCAAAGTCAGATCGCGAGGTATCTGGGTTTGAATTGGATGGTGATGTGTTTTGACTGTAAAGATAAGTGAATGGCAATTAATCCCTTCCCCCTACTACTAAACGTTCCCCAGATACTGGAAACTACTCCAGGTGTTTACTGTTTTGGTGCGGGGGGTCAGTATTAGGGGGAAAGTGTATGTGGTGCTTTATCCCACGGGTCGCAAGTAGGTATAAGATGGTTTTTTAGCAGGTTAGTTCACCGCAGACATTAGTGGACTAACCCAACTGATGCTCCAAACAGCACCTAGATATACACAGAGATGACAATTATGATATCAGACATTCTCAGACAATCTCATGAAATTTAAATGCCCAGTACTTTATAGGTGTCCGAAAATGCTGTGAAAAGGGGGTTCAAAAAGACCATTTAGGACACCTCATTTTTGACTCAAGTTTTCATGGAAGGCTTTAGCACTACCTGGGCAATCCCTGAAACACTTCAAGAAATAGCCCTATATTTTCTATGCCCTTTATGATCTTTATGGTGATTGATGGATGCAAGATAGACAGTTCTCAATCTATACCTACAGGCAATCAGATAGACAGTGCGCTCGCTGGTATTGTTTTGGAGGGGGGACAGGACATTTTTTTTGAAATGTTGGATAAATATGACCGAAACTCAGAAGCTGGGGGACAATGTCAAGGATTCTTGTTTTACATATTTTTGATCTTGTATGGATGTTATAGCTGACATCTCCAAGATAGGTTGGAGCCCTGGGAAATGATGTTGATTTCGCATTTTTTTCCGGTGAACCTCGGTGAACCTCCCAGCGGTCCAAAGGGCTATGATTTTAGTGCGGGAATTTCCCACCCAGCCATGTTTGCTTCCCGAAGGATATCTGTTTTGAACTTTCAGGGTTGGGTAATATCCCAATGATTTCATTATATGACAATATCCCATAATCATCACCATGAAATCCTCTTAGGTACAGAAACGACCTATCGAGATCATCGTATGTGCAGATGACCATGAAGTGGCCATTCGCGTGAACGACCGCGCGCGTGGAATTCCATTTGGTGTTGGGCAAAAGGCCCGCGATTGGGCCAAAAATCCAGCTTTAACGTGGTTTAACCGCCAAGAATCAGGAATTAACTAGCAGAAATCGGGGGTTGATCACCGAAAATGAGAAGTTCATGGGAATTCTAACCAGCATAAATAGGGATTTTAATCGAATGGTAGGTTTCAGTCGGGCTTTTTGACAAGTTTCTGTGATTGGGTGGTGGTTTCACCCTACAAACGGAATCACCCAATCGCATGTTTTCAAAAACAGGGTGGCTAACGACCTATCGTGACACCTAATCCTCCAAGGTTCGTGGATGAGTTTTTTCCCTGAGTCGTGCTCATGGTAGGCATATAGGTGTTTATTTGTGTTTACCCTTTGGTGTTTTAATTACCATTTATTATAGGTGGAAAAATGCAATGAAACGTAGCATTGCCCCAATGTTTTATATTGCTACGTTTTCTTTTATGGGTGTTTCAATCAAACGTAGCAATGAAAAATCCACCATTTATAGATGATTTTCCCACTAATCATTAGAAACACAATTCACGATATATCCATGTGTCGGGGACTTCCCAGCTAGCCACGTTTGATGCGCAGAGCGTATTGATCCCCAATTCCCAGGCCGACTGGGTCTCGACGTTTCTAGGTGTGGTCCTACCTATATACCACCGCCAACAAAGACAAAAGCATCAGTTATGCAACGACAGCGACGTCTTTGGCTGGCCACCCGGACCAACCGGACTTCCGTCGGTAACCAGCTAGCTGGGAAATCCTCGAACTAAAGGATCTACACATGGTGGATAATGGTTTTCCATATCCATGTTAAGTTCACTAGAGAGCAACTGGGTAAGCAAGATTCGCATCAAGAGGGATAGGAGGAGTGACTCAACCTTGAAAAATCATAATATGGGTATACCCGGGTAAATGCTGTTTAATAGCAGGGCAGCCCGATTAATTTTGGTTCGGCTAGTTCTAAGTGGGTAGCATGATCCAAAACTTCGCTGGCATGGAACCAAAATGGACTCATTTGGGTGTCAAAATTGTCAACCTCCTAAGGGCATCGTTTCATAGTAAGGAAACAAATAGTGGTGATTCCATTGATGAGTGGTGGCCCATATCAATCCCTACGGGTCGTCCAAGGCTATGGCATTGGTCTCCCCTTGTCCCGGCTCTATGCTCGTTACTTCGGTGGTACACTGAAGCTGGTTTCACTGCCGGGCTATGGCACCAGCGTCGATTTGTTCCTACGACGTGTCAATTCCAAGCAGGTGGAGATTGTGCCTGATAATGACAACTAGCTGATTGGTGGTTCTAGCATCGGACGTGTCTGGTTTTATGCAGTCTGATTACCTCAAATAACCATGAAAATAGCCTTAGCCGGCCAGAAATGGGGAAAAATGATAAAAATCCACCAGAATTGCTGGCCAGCCTGATTCGTATATAATCGGGATTGAATAGGCAGGAATATATATATATATAATATTATTATTATATATATATACATACATATACATATCAGCAACCATTCGATGTGTGGATTTGTCCGTGAATGGGGTACACCTCCAAATGGCCAACACATATCATGGGGGAAATGATGATGTACCATGGGATTTTGGTGCACCGTATGTTCAGACAAGCCCGGCAAATTGTCGATTTTGGCGTGAATCTGTGTCTTGGAATTTGTTGGAGATATCACTTCTGTTTTGGACGGATCAACATCAAGAACTCCCAAAAATGGTCATGTATTTTAAAGGTGTCCAATTCTGTGGGCCCCTGAGTACTCCAATATCTCCAATATCTCCAATACCCCCAATGTATTCCAATGTGACCTTTTGTGATACAACCACCAACCAGCTGGAGTAGCTTACATGTCGCACAGGAAGCACCCACCTTACGCGCCCGCGTTTTACCGGCTTGGTTTCTTGGGCCTTGGGCGCAGCGGTGCCTCATATCTTGCCGCATGAAAAAAAAATCACGGTTGAAGAAGCAGCTTGGGATAGCAGGGAAATGGATGGCAGATAACATCACCAGTGGGATATGTCACAAGAACCTCTATATGTATACATGTATATAGATATATATATATATACATGCACAGTTATGCGCATATATGAGCACATGCTTGCAAAGAAGACACTTATTTTTTTCAATGCTGGGATCCGAGCGTCTGGACGTGTCGGATGAGTCTGGATAGTTGAAGCTGCAGCATTCCTGGTGAATGTCCCACTGACTTTTCTTGCCTTGGTTTGCGCCTAAAATTTCTGGGAGGAAACCTACCCATCCAAACTTATTTAGTGAAATAAGAATAGTAAATAGCTATAACTGAAGCCAGACAGATAGATATAGATGGATAGCTAGCTAGATAAATAAAACTACATCCATATCACGTCATATCCTCCCGGTTTTTTTTTCTGATTGCCTCGGCAGGTTATTTGGTCATCAAGTCCTGTGGCGCGTTGAGTCTCAAGGTGGTGACTCTTGGCGAAGTGTGCCGCTGTGACGTTCCAACGCTCCAACTGTCCATGGTTGGGAAAAAGATGGAACACCATTGAAAACCCATGGAAAACCATGGTTTATAAAGTTTAGAATACTGAGACATGGCTCAAAATAGCTCCAAACGGCTGAAAACTCCAAGATATGGGATGCTTCAGTACCAAAATGGTGCAACTTAGTGGGCCTATTGCTACCCATGGCTGCCATGGCAGTGCTATGTTTGGCAGATGGGTGGCTGGGGTTTACCTGTGTGTCGAACCATCAAACCATCACAGGTGGGGATAGACAAAGTGAAATTTGATGAATTTGGTATTAGCTAGAAGCATGTAGAAGCTTTACCAATGGTTGTACCTGCGCCGCGGCCATTTCTCGACTTTAGTCGGTGTTTAATTCATCGTGTTTCACCGCTGATACGCCAGACATATCTGCAGGTGTTTCAATCCATATGCGAATAACATTAAATGTATCCCTAGAAATATGGTTTCGAATCACAGGTATTGATTTATCAAGACTGAATCACATACGTATACATTTAGAATCACGGATGTCTCTATGTATATATATATATGCACATTATACATACATATATATATATACATACACATACACACATCCATACATATATATGTATATATCAACTAAATCATACATCATACATATGCATGCATGCATGTGTATAATACAGACACACAGTCAGACCTACATACATAAACGTGCGTAGGTGCAAAGTGGACATACCTAGGAACCACTCGCATATTTACATATATACATTATCCACATAGATTATACACATAGATTATCCACATAGATTATGCACACACATACACATACACATACACACACACATACATACATACATACATACATACATACATACATACATACATACATATGTACATACATACATACATACATACATACATACATACATACATACATACATACATACATACATACATACATACATACATACATACATACACACATACACACATACACACATACACACATACACACATACACACATACACACCTACACACGTACATACATACATACATACATACATACATACATACATACATACATACATACATACATACATACATACATACATACATACATGGACAGAAATACATGTATACATACATAGGCATGAATACATTGCAGTGTCTCTTTGTCATCCAAGGACGACCTTGAGAAATATCGCGCTGGTTGTGTGGCTCAGCTGCAGCGTTCGACGGTAGAGCCTTTGGGCCTTGTTCAAAGTTAAAGAGCAATCCATGGTGGAATAAGGATGAACAAGGAATATATATATACTGTGTATATATATATATACTGTGTATATATATATATACTGTGTATATATATACTGTGTATATATATATGTGTGTGTGATCGTATAAGTATATATAAATTGGAATACAAAGAGGAGACATATAGATGGATGAATACATACATGTATAAATATGGTTCTGGATTCTGGATCTATGCATTACGTACATGGATAGATTTAGATTTCTAGATATTATATAGAATATCATGGAATTGCAAGGGCCGTGGAAAACTCGGCACCAGGTACGGCGCCTTTGTGCTTGGAGAACCAGTCACAAGTAGTCAAGGAGCAGGCAGGGCTCAGGGGGCAGGGGTGGTGAGGGGACGCTAGTGGCTATTTTTTGGGTGCATTGGGTTCGAAAAAGTTATGGAGCAGACAGCGATAGTGATTTTGTAAGTCTCTGCAACTTGGGGATGAAATTGGGGATGCCACTAGCCTACCAGGATTTTACATGGAGAGATGTATTTTCGGTTAGGCAGTTTTAAGAGACAATGCTTCGAAATTAGTCCTGATAGATATGCACAATGTGTACCATTGAAACATCAGTAAACACCAGTAAAAACATTAAAAACTGTTAAACATCACTATCACCATTAAAGCATCATCATTTTATGTTGCTTCTTCGCCTGTGATAGTCCCATTCAACAAGCTATTCTTGGGATTTTCCAAGTACCCAAGACATCCACTACTTAATCATCAATTGATGAATGGATCATTGGAAAGTGGTCATTCTTGAGAATATGGTGAGAATAATCATTGTTCAATCTCATTCGATTTTCTTGAGATGAGTTGGACTATGTTGGAATCTCAAGCCTTCCTGCACTGGAACACCCCGCCATACTATTTTGCTGCTACTCTAAGCTAAGTGTCACGTCGAGTCTTTGCTTCGAAATCGAATGCGTGGCAGTCTCTGATGGTCAACGATCAAGGCATTGCTGATATCCAGCGTTTGAAATCATCGTTGAAGCTGGTGGGTCCATCTTTGGCCCAGGCTATACCCTGGCACTGGTGTGGCACTTAGCCGATCTTCGGGCAGCTATCATCAAATGTTTTTTTCCTAAGTCATGCGGGATTAAAAACATGGTTGTTTCAATACTAAGTCATGGTGTAAGGACTGGGATGATCGAGGGTAGCTCCACTTCGGAAACCTCCAAATATCCAATTATGGGATATTCTTGGTGGGTAAATGCCGGTTACCCAAACCCACCTCACCCAGTCAATCGAATCTGAGCGAAACCCCAAAGGCCATTTCCTGCTTAGTGCTGAGGTCGGGTTCGTAGGCTACTCCTACTATAGCGGTGCTCCTGCTGGGGGCAAGGTCAGTAACTATGTTCAAGTGAGTCCAAGCCAAGCGAGCCCAGACAATGATCACGAGCGGAAGTCTTGACACGCGGAAATCTTTCCCACCAAGAAAGGCCTGAGAACTTGGGAATGTTGAAGGGCTGGCGACTGTTTGTGCCCAAATTGTGTTTTGAGCATTTTTTTTGGGGGGGCAGGTGAGCAATTCAACATGCCAACCTCCAAGAGTATGTAAGTTTTACGGTTTACGTATTAACAAGTAGCACAGGGTTCACCATGCTTCACACTGACAACTGCCAGCTGAGCTCCATGCCACGGCTTGCCCCAAAAAGGAAAGCTGTGGGAACCTTCAGGTAATTTAAGCTGGCGGTGGGAAAGAGCCTTATTTTTCTCATTGGGGGATGGGTCAAAACCTATTATTACCATAATTTACCATATATATTGGGGAATAAACATCCATTAGCCAGGCTATTTTAGGGTAGGGGTGCCAGGGTTTTGACTGACAGCCATTGGTCTGGATAAATCATAGCGACATCACTACGACATGAGCGTTGTGGTAAGGAATGGTAATATGGTAATATGGTAACATATGGTAACATATGGTAACTATCCCCAAATGAGCTTGTTTGACTTTGCTGAAATTGTTATAAATTGGGGATGCAGGATGATTTGCTGCAAAAACTGGGGATGATAAATGATTTTGACAAAATCATGTCAAGGGATGATTGACTGTTTCGCTTTGACAATTTATAAATTGTATTTTATCGAGATTGATAGATGATTTTCCTATCGACCGTACAGATTTGCATTTGCCAGGTCAGACTGTCAGACTATGACAAATTATTTTCAGGAGGTATGCCTCAAGACTGAAAGGTTTCTACTGCTTCAAAAGCGACAAAGTAGTGCCAGTAGGATTAATAATGAAGCTAAGACCATGAACCTACCCGCACTGGTGCTGCTTTGCACATAAGTTTCCGACCTTCTAATGTTAGGTTCCGACCTTCTAATGTTGGTTCATAAACATTTAACACCAATTTTTGATTTCTAGCATGGTGTGACAACCATTTAACAACCATTTTTCGTGATCATTTCGCACTGGGCGTTGCTCATAGCTGGGCCTTTTTTTCAGCCCATCGCTTGTCCCATGCGGGCGGCGTTACCTTGCTGGGTTTGTCCATTGCCGAATGGGATCCATGTGGATCCAATCCCTCTAGTCAACGTTGACCGCTCGCTATTGATTTACCCATTAAAAAATGGTGATTTACCATAGCTATAAATAGGAAAATGATGGAAAATGCCCATTGATTTACCAGCTCGCTATTGAAGCCATGGCCCATTGAAATAGTTGGTTTACCCATGAACAAATGGTGGATCTTTCCATAGTTATGTAAACGTTTACCAGGGGGTAAATGTCATAATTATAGAACACAGATACCCTCTGGTTATTTAACATAGCCATGGAAAGATCCACCATTTTTAAGAACGGTAAACCATCTATAGGTGGGCCATCTATACCACGGCTATGTTAAATAATCAGAGGGTGGATAAATTGATGGTAGTGACATATGTTGAATATCCATATAATTAACGGATAACCAATCTATATCCGTTATAGTAAAATATTGACGGGATAATAATATGGATTAAGGGACAATAATGGGTGATTATGTGATAGCTATACTAAACCATCCCCAATCGAGTTTTATGAAATTGGGTTTGCCCATAGCAAATGGGATGATGTAAACTAATCCGAAATGGTTGGTTAATGGGGTGGTTTATAGCATTGGGTTTATCGGTTTGTCAGTGCCAATCATTGGTTGGACCATTGGTCGTTACTAAATTGCAGCACATCGTAGCACTGTAGCACCCTGTTTCTGGACACACCCATGTGGGCACTCCCGGACTTGCGCGACAGAAAGAGCCACAGGTGGTAACCTTAACATGACTGACATCCCAATCATGGCCACATTCAGGGCGAGGTTACATCCAAAAAATGTGTTTTTGCTCAGGTCTGTGAAAACCGTAAGTTTCCCAGAGTCAGACAAACCCTGGTTGATTAATTGGGGGTGTGAACCCAGATAAGTGAATTTGTACTGAAACGGTATTCTGCAATTAACCAGAAGCGTCTTTACGGTACAGGTACGCAACACGGCGTCTCTTTGCAGGTGGTTGTTTGTCCATGTTCACTGTTGTATGTTTTCATACACGTGTGCAAATACACCTGCATTACTCACAAGAGTTTGCAGCACATATTGCATATGATGTTGCGCTTACTGTACATTTCTTGCTTCCTTTTCGAGCCCCAACCACAAAGCCCCAACCACAAAGCGGGCCTCCCTAGATAGGTTACTGTTGGTTCATTGCCAAATCATGGCAATGAAAAATATTCCATTTATTGCACAGATGATTTTCCAGTTTATATTACCCTCTGGTTATTTAACATGGCCATGGAAAATGGCCCGTTTATAGATGGTTTACCTATTAGATCTATTAGAAATGGTGATTTTCCATGGCTACGTTAAATAACCAGATGGTAATTAAATGCCCTGCAGTGTGGTGGGGCAAATCCTCTGAGAAGCCCTGGCAAAAAAAATAGGTGATTTCGCAGCCATGTTTAATTACTGAAGGGGTTATTTCATGCGGATTCACCCAAGCCTCCAGGGTGATCCTAAGCCCTCAAGAAACCAGCTGGTTGATTGCTGTGGACACTTAAATTGTGGGTTCAACCAACTATCATATAGTTGAGATAGATCCCCATGTTCATATCCCATAGACATTCTGGTGCCTGTTGGTTTTGCCGTAAAATCAAGGGAGATTTCGACACGTGCCAAGCCAGGCAAGTGTCGGGCATTTCTTGAGCTACTTGGCCATCTGGGCTTCCCTTCAGCAGGACCCGGGAGATATCGGATGGGGAAAGCTATGAACACGAACAAAGCCAGCTATTGGATGTGCATATTTTCGGCAAGAAGTTTTTTGGGGTCAGAGTCAGAGTCAAATTTCTCTTGGGAAACTGGCTGGTGATGAGGATTGGAAAAATATGTCCTGCTACTTCCCGATTAAAACATGGGCAATTCTCAGGGTCTGATAGTTAGCTGGTAGGATGGTAATTATATCTCTAGCAAATGAATAGAAATTCCAGGTTTAAATCCCAGGTTTGAAGCTGGACCTGACTTTGGAGAATGCCTTCAGAAACACAGACTTTGGCAATTTTGATGCGTACAAGCATTCAGTACAATTCTGAACCAGAAATTTTGGTAGTCCTAAGAATTGATACCAACAAAACCATGAGGTCATGTACTTGTCCACCTTGTCAGGGGCCTTTCCTTGTCCCACTGTTGTTTGGGTAATTCTGATCTATTTGGGTGAAATCCGCTTCGACCTCATATTGAGCTGGAACAACTGCAGCTGGCATCAGACCGGCCTTCGCAGCTAGATACAATATGATACAATACTCTCCCAACAATGGGGGAAGTGTACCTCATCAGTCATCAGTTCAGCCATATAATACAAATATATGTATATATATATATATACACGTTACATATCTGTGTGTATGTGTAAACAAGTCTTATTGCCTCAGTCCAACAATCCAAATCTGATTGGTGGTTTGGAACATAATATTTCTTTTTCCCATCATATTGGGAATGTCATCATCCCAACTGACGAACTCATATTTTTCAGGAGGGGTGGCTCAACCACCAACCAGACATTTTTGTCCCAGTGAGTTTCCCCGCAGGCCATGGCACAGAACACGACGAACCCCTGTGATTGCGAGGCGTGGGGTTGAAAACCCCATGGTTAGGTCCTGAAAAATGATGACTTAACCATCAACGAATTGGGATTCCACCATGAAAATATGTGAAACCCAGAAAACATATTGACCCACCAACGTAATGGAAGATATAAAACCCACCAGACTGAGGATTCTTGTGGGATAGCCATCAAAGGAAAGCCCTGAGCAAGGGCTGCAAAACATATTGCCATAGCAGGATCTTGATCTACCCAAGTTTGGTGCGTCAGTCTCTCGAAATGACCATTTCAGAGATCTAAATGGGAGGTACCTACCATATATAACGCCAACATAAAGGCTATGTAAGGGACCCCACAAAATATTGCCTTGTATGGTACAGTACCTCCAGTTTAGGTACCTGAAATGGCGATTGAGTCTCGTGTGTGTCCTGGCATCTAAATTTCCTGCGAATATCATTTTTTTGACAGTCTTGTCCCAGCCATGGCCAAGACAAAGGCTAGCGCAGGTGCATCCAAGATTCAGCCAGTAGTTTAAGCAACGCAGCCAGCTGAGAAGTCACAAGCCAAGATCACCAAAAAATGTCACAAGAGTATGAGGAGAATCGGACGACGGTGCAATGAGGAGAATCGGACGACGGTGCAGATTGACAAAGGAATTGTTGGACAAGATTGATGCACATGGCTAGTGGAGCAGTTGAAACAAAAGAGAGTGACATTGCGGATTTACTGCTGCCAGTTTCAACTCTTGATTTCCGAACACTGTTGAAACAACTATGATTTACTTCAAGGTGGGCCTGAACACAGAATGGTGATGTATTCCGAAATCATGTTTTTGCGCCTTGCGAAAATGCTGAGTTCAGCCTCCCAATCAAGCTCGAGGCTCGGGCATCACCCGCTAAGATAGCATAAGTGACCGTCGCTTAAAAGAACTAACGCTATGATTCTTTGAACACATATGTATGTGACTCTATGTGCATTCACATAGAGATATAAAGAACTGTCATGAAAATTCAGTAAGTAAATAGATAGATAGATGATGATAGATGGATAGATAGATAGACAGACAGACAGAGAGATAGATGAGTGGATGGATGGGTGGATGGATGGATGTTTGGATGGATGAACGTATCTATGGATGGATGGATGGATGGATAGATAGATAGATTGATATTTATTTATGTATATGTCCATGTATAAGTTTGGACGACCTCAACATGAATTCACCGTAGCCCATGGTTAGGGGGAAGTCCCCAAGGTGGCAGATGTTTTCAGGTTGCTGAATTGTTGCAATTCAGCCAAGTTGCAGGACGATATCCCAAAATAATGGCTAAGCCAACCACCCCCACCTCCTTAGTATGTTGTGTCATACTTATAAAAAGAGCCCCATTAAGGGGAAACATGGACTGCGATCACTTTAATTAGAAATTGCAAACATATTAATAGGGTCCAGGAATTTGTACCGACCTCGCAACGACCTCGCTGTAAATGATGGGTTATTAGGGAGTCAACCAAAACGTAACTATTTCGGCGGTTTATGTAGTATAATGTCAACCCTGGATTAATGAACCCTGAATGATCATTTTTTGATATTTTTTGCATATCAAGAAAGCAATTGGGAGGTTTATCCCACTTTCAGGCGGTATATATCCAAGTATTTCCGCCATATTGCCATAAAATATCAATTTGAAATTGTTGGTTAACCTCATCCCCATGCCTGATGGTAAAACATCCAAATATGGTTTTGTTTGAAAATAGGCTACCCGGCTACCCCAAAATCCCATGGTTTATCGTCATCATCATCATCATCATAATAATCATTATCATCATCATGTTTCCTATTGAAGGCCCTTTTTTATGGGGATATTACATTTTCAGACACACCCAAATATCATATTGTTCGTGTCGTATATCTAATTACATACCCATGATATACACATGTTATATCCTGAATATATCTTCATTGTATCCATTTTAATAGCCTTTTTCCGTTCTTTAAGTTCCCTTCAGGCAGATGGTTAACATGTTAAAACCCATCGTTAAACATCCCTGTCCAAATATTAGTTACAAGCAACCGGGTTGGTTAAACAATAATTGATTAATATGGCCAATATAACATTGATTCATCTGGTTTGTATAAGTCCCATATGTTATACCCCATTTATTTATGGTCTCTCTTGCAGTTATGTATAAATATATATATATGTTCCATCACTATTTACTACATATACATATGCATATACATATATGTATATATATATATATGTATATATATATATTTACTTATAGAGACAGAGAGAGTTATACATTTTGATATATATATATATACCATTATCCCGTTGAACAATGAATTAGCTCTATAAAGCCCGTTAATCCCATATAGTCCCATATTATATTGTATATATACATATCCCCTTGAAATATGTCCCAGCTATTATACATATAAGTTTGATCCCATATACTATAATCTTTGCATATTCATATGCCTTTTATAATCCCATATATCCTGTTGAACAAGGACATATTTCTACATATCTTACATATATCAATAGTGATAATCTTACATATTTCCTATACATCCTTAAACTAAATATCCTATATTATATATCCCTCTGATTTATCCGTTCTCCTGTCAGGCAGAAGACACTGAATTGTCCCTGCCTCTCTGGGCTTCGCTGCCCATCATCGCGTTTCTTGGAGCACAGATGGACTTCAGGATGGAACATGCTGCTTTTGAACAGAAGTTGGGAGATTTTACAAATCAGTTTTCAAAAAAGGAGATTAGTTAAGAAAGAGAAGCGACAAGAAGAGGTGATATTTCAGTCACACAGCGGAAGGTGACTTGGTCAATTTTTATCCGCGGGCGTGTTTCATTACCCAGGATTAACCTAGATAAGAACCAAGGCACGATGATTGTTGATCCAAGGCATTTATGTCCGGGACTGTCCATCCAAACTCGTTGATCCAGCTACTGTTCGGGTGCCACCCCTCTTGGAACACATCGCTAGTGCTGATCAGAGATCTGGATTTGAAAATATGTAGCCCTACTGGGGTGTTAATCATTCTGTGGGCTGGAACAAGAACAACCAGTTGCTAGTGAATCATGTCGGTTGCCTTTCATTGATATAGATCGTCCCTTGCCTGTGACTCCGAAGAAACATCCCAGGGTGTGGGCAGCTATGACATGTTACAACCCAATTAGGAATATTGACTAATTAGATCACGTCCCATCATTGCATATTGTACATATGTGCATAAATCCCAGCATACCTGCATCCATGCATCCATCCATCCACTCATCCATCAATCCATCCCTCCATTCATCCATAGATACATACATACCATACCCTACCATACCACACAATGCATTGCATTGCACTACATTACATTGCATTGCATTACATTGCATTACATTGCATTACATGCATTACATGCATTACATACATTACATACATTACATACATGACATACATGACATGTATTCACAGACATTACATACATTACATGCATTACCTCATATACATTACATGCGTTACATACATTGCATACAGAACATATATTTACAGACATTACATACATTACATACATTACCTCACATACATTACATGCATTACATACATTACATTGCATAACATTAGATCCATTCCATTCCTTTCCTTTCCACTCCACTCCACTCCATACCATACCATACGATACACACACAGAGACATACATACACACATTACATTCCATTCCATTCCATTCCATTCCATTACATTACATACATACAAGACCAGACAAGACCAGACACACAACCAAACCAGACCAGACACACAACCAAACCAGACCAGACACACAGACACACACACACACAGACACACACACACACACAGACACACACAGACACAGACAGACACAGACAGACACAGACAGACACAGACAGACACAGACAGACACAGACAGACACACACACACAGAGACAGACATACCATACCATACCATACCATACCATACCATACCATACCACAGCATGTGCGCTGGCCAGGTTTTTAGTGATGCTATCTGGCCTTTTTTCTGGACTCACCCTTGGGCTCATGGGCCTTGATGTGGCCTGGTGGCAGAGCCCTCCGATGAACGGTTTATGGTACGTGAATGCCCGCCTTGTCGGGATGGTGATGGAGGAGGGTTCCTGTGATGGGGGTTTCCTGTCAATTCTGGGATTGTGGATGTCGGCCTGATCAGATTACAATTGCTTATTGAGGTAGACTGATCCAAAGGGGTGGGCCTCATATACCCCTTTTCTATGGTCCCTATCGCCTGAAGTTTGATTGATACAATCTGACCGATGGATCAACCCCTCGGCAGGGAGGAGGACTTTCAGCATTCGTGCTGAGTGGAAGGGTGCAAATTTGATATCCCCAGAGTTGGTTTGAGGTTTTAAGGAAAATCGGTAGGAAACTTCCAAAAACCCATGGTTCCCTTAAGCCAATCCTTTGATGATAGTGGTAGCATCGATACTTTGCGGGACGACTACCCTCCAGTAGTACCAGAACCCATTTGTGGCCCACATACTGTGATACTCTGATACTAGTCTGGCTATCAGTGGCGGCTAGAACCCCTTTGGAACCCGCTTCACCCCAGACTGAGATCAATTTTACTGGTGTTGCTATATAGTTTGCTAAGTCGGATTATCATTATCCAATCAAGATTCTTCAAGATTCCCCGTGGAATGCTGAACCAATCTCATGGATATTTGGTGGTTTCAAACATGTTTTTTTGTTCCATCCATCCCAGATGAAAAGTCCCAATAACTTACACATGTCCAGTAAGGTTGAAACCACCTGAACCCGCAACATGCATTGCTACATATATATGTATATAAAGATTATTTATTATGTATATTTACATACTATATATTCACACATAGTAACCCCTAAAAAGATAGAAAAGGATAGAAAAGGTTCAATTACCGCATATTTCCACTATTTACATATATATATATATAGTAAAATCAGTCTTTACCAACTGTTAATTTTGTTGAGGGCTGTTTTTTCTCATCATTTCGGAATGGCACGTTGAACACCCAGGTCATTGGCCTGCAAATTGTGCAGAAAGGGGATGACAAAGAACTTGCAAGGCACACGACGAGCACTGGGCTGGAAATCAAATTCGAGAGTGCCGGTGAACCGGGGGTAGATAACCAGGGTAATTGTCAGATAGCCATGGCCAAAGGGATATCTAAGACAACCATGGTTATCTAACCCAAGTGCCAATTTATTGCTCGAATAACCAAAGGTATCTAAGGGTTAGATAACCATACCCTGGCACTGTGCCATTTTCATCAGCATAACGGGGATTTAAACAATAAATATTGGGAGTTTGAGAAACAATCACCAAGGATAGCCAGGGGACCAGGGGATGCTATTTCTATCCTGGGCAGTTGGGGCAACAAGGAGTTTAATACCCAAATTTGAGGATTCAATGATGGCAATGGTTGAATCGCCTACCAGCTGGTTGGGATGGGATGCAAATATTCCCATGATCTAATGCGTTATCCCAACTGCAGCCCCATAAAATACCAAAAGAAAAACGCATCCCAAGTGCCGTCCGTGCTTTATATGTCCAAAGAAAACACTAAGCCGAGAAAACTATCCCAAGAAAAATTGGGGTTTATGCCACAACAAGAACCATTTTTCCTCATGGCAGTGAGGTGTGCGGAAAAGATCGCACCCATTCGGGAGTCGGGCAACCAGCTGCTGTGCCCGGGCAGGATTTGGGTGGGAAAGCTGGCAGCTGGGGTGATGCTTTGGGGAGAATTGACTTACACGTGTCCAGTTACTAAGTTTTGGTTACCTATGCATATATATATATATATATACATAGTTATGTTATGTGATGTTATATGTACATGCATGTGTGTGTGTGAGTTTGCGAAGCGACGGAAAACCCTGGGGTTGTACTTGGGGTGATTATGATTATGTTTATGCAATTTTATGCAGATGTAGATGTTATGTTCGGTTGGTCAGTGCACATATTATGTTTTTGTTTGCGGTATTGTTTTGGGGGTCCCTCTAGTAGAGTTTACACCAGTACTTTAGATGCTGGACTTGGTTTCACTGCAGCTTCATGGGTCCAGTGCCTCTGGAATCCTTTGGAGTTGTACGGCGCACTGCTTAGGAAACAGCTTCAAGTCAGATCCAGAGGTGATGTATGCTATTGGCGGCTATTGGTCATATATTGAGTGGATATACTTTGAACGGTTGGGATATTAGGTTGGATGTAGCCTGGTTTTGCTTTGTCTCCAGCTTTTGTCATCATGTGGCTGGATCCAGGAAATGGCCATGGCCAGAAAAAGTGGGGGTAAATCAATTGGCCACAATCCGTCAAGACATCAACAGGAATTGGGAATTCGAACGGCCAAAGAAGAGTTTGACTTCTAAACAAACTGGAATTGACCAGCAAAAGGAAGATATGGGATGTACCAAAAATTGGGACATGATCAGCGAACGATAAGTTTGCATCATCAACTGGGATTTGACCAGCACACAAAAAGAATACCCTCTGGTAATTTAACATAGCTATTGACAATGGGAATCTATCGTTGATTTACCTATTGAAAAGGGCGATTTTCCATAGCTATGTTAAATTACCAGAGGGTATATGGAGAGTTGGCCACAAAAAATGGTGGTTTCCCAGCGCCTGAGTCTGAGGTGTACATTGCTGTTGGGCAATGTGGCGGTGAACTCGGCATTCCCGGCTTGGCCGTTAAAACACATGGCCGTGCTGATGGAATGCAACCCCCAAAATAAAGATGACAAAGTGGTTGCCAGATTTAACATGATTTAACTATGCGCAATTGAACTATATGATTACTTATTTTTTTTAGAAAAAACTATTCCAACTTGAAATCCAAGATTGAACAGCGCATCTCCAGAAACAGTAAAAGAGGGCCATTTAAGAAAGGGATGATGGCCGCCGGGTGACACACCTACGACCCGCTGGTCTGGCAATGGAGAATGGCCGCTTTATAGATGAATTTCCCATTATAAAATGGATGGCTACTGGGACTCGTTTATTGGTGGGTTTACCACATTATATAGATCAGATGTAAATCCTGTTGACATAATTTGTCGATCACTTTTCTGTGTCTCCCTGGGTGATCAATCAGATGCCATCCGTACAAGTGGCCTTAAACAGTCTTGCTCGCTAAAAATATCATGGATCCTGGGAAAACAAGGATGTCCAATAGTACAGTATAGCAAAATCCTCTTCCAAAGCTTTCTATTGGAGTTTCATGTAGGTGTTCATGAGTTGAGTTGCATCAGTTTGTGCGAAAGGCATTTGTTGTGACAGTCACCACAGTCGCCACGGCGAGGCGCTGTCAATCCTCACAGCAGACATTGCAAGTGGATTGGTTGGTTTCCTTGCCGGGACCTTGGTCCATCACGGTTTGTCGGCTTCCGACACTGGAAGATCTGGAAGTTGGGGATCAATGACCCCCGGGCCGTTACGTCCTATTTGTGTGTAGCGTTCCATTGTGATAGTCGAAATCATGTGGCTCTGGGCTGCTGGAATTGAGCGTTTTAAAAGGATACGGTACGGTATTACTACTGAAACTTACAAATATCAAGAGTTTTGTTGGTTCTGTTCCAAGTTTTGCCCGCTTACAAAGGATCTACCTAGTCCGTGCTTTCTTGAAGATGTTAGAGCATGCCCACAACCGAGAAATGATTGTTGGTTGCTCGTTTTAGGTCTAGCTTGTGTTAAAGGGGAAAGGCATGACTTGGGCATGACTTTCTGGAAACATTGTGGAAAGACGTGTTTTCAAGACCCCGGCATGACTTAGGCATGAGTTTTGCACATCCATGTGAATTTTGAATTATTTTTACTAGTTGACTGGTTGTATCCCATTTCTTATAGTGGCTCAACCATTTTAAAACTAATTTTCTCTGTAAAATGCTTCGTAAAGCACCCTAGGGCACAAGTAAGGGGTATTTCTTTGTATTCTGTACTGAAGCAGCGTGTTTTGTGGGGCCCTGCCGCTCAAAGAGCCCAGAACTGGGCGCGCTTGAAGTCCCTGGTGGAAGGTGCCAAAAAGGAGACGCGGCGCCAATTGCCACTGAAGGCTTTCGGTTTTCCTTCAAATGCAGAACCTGCGGAAGTAGCTTTTTCATACCGGACCCCTACAACTGAGCCACAGGGCCCATCCTGGAAGGGACGCCGCGTGACGCAGGACACACCCATTCTGCTGTGCATGTTCGAAAATGTTGACTGTCTATGTGTGCATTGTTTTTTCTATTTTTTCACGTATCCACACACCGACATATATATATAATATTATATATATATATATATTTGTATGTATATATGTATGTGCTCATTTATGACGACGCAATTGGTTGCGAAACGGCTTCGTCAGGAAGACGTACCCCTCGTGATTGAGCACCGCCCGCAGGGTTCAAACAGTGACATGGCCATGCTGGAAACTTCCCTGGAAGAGAAGGATGGCAACCGGCTATGCCGGGTGACAAAGGAATCCCTGGGCCGGGGCAGCGTCAGGGCTTGGGCAGCCTACAAGTCCAAGAAGGCCAAGCCTGATCTTCAGCTGCATAAGGAAACCTGCACGCTAACAGCCGCCCCCGACCTAACGGGCAGCTTGCTGGACGGTCATTGTTGTGTTTCTTGGCCGTGAATTTTTCCCATCTAATCTTGTGACCCCCGCACACCCGTAAAAAGATGGCGGAATTCAAACGCGTCGGACTTAGATGATTTAGAGGACCCAGAAGCATTCGCGACCCAGAAAGTATGTATGCGGAGGAGGTTCAAGGCATCATTGCCTTATGCTTAGGCAAAAACTAAATGGACCTCAGGCCTTTTCGAATGGGCGGTGCCTGGTTGGGCGAGGTGGCGGTGTGGCGCTGTCCAGCGCATTGTCCATGGGACATATGCGTTTGGAAGGCCATCGCCCCCCCACCTGGCTACCCATTCCAGACAACTGCCTCGTTGTCTCGGCAGAGGGGCTTGCCAACTTGCGGATGGCCGGAGGCGCGGGTTTAGGGACGCGCCCCCGGACGCCAAAGAAGATCAAGCAGATCAGAACGGACTGTTTCGCCTCTTCAATCTTTTTCCAAAATGTACGTCATTGCATCTTCACCATCTGAGCTCCATGGCGAAGTGAAGGCCAAGGTTGCATCAGAATCACTGTACCGTAGTGTTTGATATCTTCAAAGACTCCAACATAACCTCATAACCCCAAACAATGAAATTCATCATGTCATTTGATTAAAACAAGGAAAACAGAAAGCACCCAAAATAACTCAGCAGTCAGATCGTTTACCCAGGTTTCGAATTGTTCACAACATCAACATTGATGCGCATGCTCGCGGGGTTGGAGCTTCACATCGATACATAAACCTGGTCACACACGCGCTCCGCTTCTAATCACACGCGAACTACGCTCAGGCTAACAAAGGTCTTCACCGCCTCAGAACAAAACATCAAGAAATACTAACCACCAAGAGGTATTCACCACCCCAGGCAGCACAACAGAGGTATTCACCACCTCGGCGACGCAGACTCATTCCAGGTATTCACCACGCGCGCGTCACCGCATAGGCTCCTGAGCTTTCCTTTCCATAGGGACTCACCTCTTTCAACTGTATTGTGCACCGGGTTTATCAGACCCTTTACGTCTTAGCCATAGAACTTTTTTGGCAAGTCAGCAAGAAGCCTGCGTTTGCAAGCATTTGATGAAGGGCTGCTCTGCATCAGGTGATTTTGATGGGGATTTAGACATGGTCTCTTTTGACCCCGTGCTTATTGACCTCGTCAAAGCCACCGAAGCCGGCCGCGATGTGCATGGAGGGGCATTTCCAAGCCGTGGACAAGAGGCGTGGCCAAAGGGTCTTATTCATATTCAAATGTGTTTTGAATATATTGAACCAATGGTGTCGAAAGGTTTGTCTTGGCAAAAAAACACGCGGAAGGTTGCGGGAAGCGGTCGAAGAACTGCAAGAGAAAAAAGGCTGAGGCTGAGGCCGCGGGCCTTGAGGTTGTACCTGAAAAAGATGCGCTCGCCGCCTCAACGACTGCCGAAGAAGCAACGGAAGCTTGCCTCAACGACGTTGCTCCGGTCCCCACCCCAGCCGTCCGCGGCTGTGCCTGTGCATCCGCTGAAAGGGTGACAGAGGCAGTCTTGCAGGAGTGGATGCAACCACAGCAGAATCGGTCAGTGCCGAGAAGGCGCAACAGGCCCTGCGAGCACAAATGTGCGCACACCGGGCCATGGACGCTCCCAAGCATTTCCCGGCAGAAGCTGTATTGGCGCTCTCTAAAGAGCTTAGGCAAGCAGCTGGAGTGCACGCCAGGGCGCCAAGGTCCACAAAAGTGGCTTTCGCTTCCCTCAATTTTGAAATTCCTGGGTCACCGTACTAGAGCTGCAAGACCAGCGTTTTTAGAGGGAAGCAAATTTGGCCGGGTCTGGGTCCCAGGCCAGGTGGTGGGGTGGAGGTTTGAGGCGGGCCAGACAGCCCGGCAAATTTTCCGTCGACGAAAACATCAGTAGCTGCTCGTTGTAGCTTCGGGAATCCCGGTTTGTGAGTTAGCGCAGCTACCCGGAATTTGACATATATATAATAGTGCAGAATATACGGATCAATATTCTAATATTTCTTGGGATTGCGCTTTTTGGCTGCGCTCCTACCGGCTTCTGCTTTATTCTGCTAGCCCGCCGCAGGCTTAAAAATTGGAGTGTACAACGAACAACCGCTCCTGCAGGATATAAATTTTAAGTCATGGTTTTAAATTGATAATATTAATTCGAACTATATCTATTCTGAATCACTTACATCTTAAATATATCGACTCTTAGTCCTATCGTAATCTCCCGCTGTTGGAAACAGCGGGCTGACCCTACTGGGTGAAAGCCCTAAGTTGTCTCAGGTAGCACTTTGTTGTCTCATCTCGGTGTGCCATGCGGAAGAGGCGACACAACCACTGGAATGAATTACTACATTATTTGTCATTTGGTATGATCTTGAAAACGCACGCAGGGATTCTTAACATTGCACACATTAATTATACCCGTTTGCCCCCTAACAATCCCTGGAGCAACGTGAGTTTCCCACACACTGTGTCCACACTCGGGGGTCGTATGATCGGTCCTCCTCCTCCTCCTCCTCCTCCTCAGTATCATTATCTTCCTCCGCCTCCACATCATCATTCTCGGCATCATCCTCTTCCTCCCCCTTGACATCATCATCCTCAACATCGTCATCCTCCACCTCATCTTCTGCAACATCATCCTCCTCTTCCGCGACATTAATTATAATACTTTTCATCCTCCTCCTCAACATTATCATCCTCAACATAATTATCTTCCTCCTTCTCAACACCGCCATCCTCCACATCATCCTCCACATCATCATCCTCCACCTCATCTTCCGCAACATCGTCCTCCTCCACCTCATCTTCCGCTATTCTTCCGCGACATATCATCCTCAACATCATCGCTCGCAACATTATCACCTTCATCCTCATCCTCATCCTTATCTTCCTGCTCCGCCTCCTCATCATCAGTATCATCCTCCTCCTCCTCCTCCTCATCATCATCATCATCATCCACATTATCATACATTATCATACATTATCCTCCCACTTCCCCACACTTGGGGTCTCTTGCCGGGATAATTATTGCTTAGATCTTTCGGACCTATCCAAATTGTTTTCACCATTTGCTGTTTTTGATCTGACGTGGGGATATGGCAAAATGTAATTCCGGTACCTCGTCCGGTACCTCGTCCAAAAGCCTTTCCAGAGTCATGATTTTGGTATTACATTCATATTCCATATGTCTCGGCTCGGCGCCAAAGTGAGACATGCCCAAATCCACCACCAAAAACTCTTAAAAATTAGAGGTTTATTACATGATCATTGGGTTTACCATCTTGGTATTCCGATTTTATGGCTATATGATAACAGTTAACTTCCAATGTTGGTAAACCTCCATAGTGAATTGTTGCTAAAACCTCCAAAACTGCCATTGCACCAACCCGGTTTCTCTATCGAAAGCGAGGTGTCAACAGCGCTCATCGTGGTCTTTGGCGAGATCCTGCCGCAGGCTCATCCTGGAGTAGATTTCTGTTGAAAATCCCTGTTTGTTTTATGTGTTTTTTCATGTTTTTCGGGATCACGATATATTATTGGCTCACTATGGGTTACTTCACATTTACATAATCTTATATATCTCAGATATTATATGTATATACACATGTACTTTTGGCTGGAGTTCAATATTCTTGAATATTTTGACCTCCAAAATTGAACTGTTAATGTGGTATATTAGAATTTTCATGGTATCTCATGGCATTGTGTTTATAGGCTATATAAGGACATGATGGGATATATATATATATACTCGGGGATGACCGTGATGGTGGCCGTCTTTGGGGGTTGAATGCACCATATCAACCATAGAGGATGATCTCCAAATTAAGGCTGTTAGCCTCCAGCAATCTTACCCCTGCCTTGCTGGAAACGGAAGGGCGACATCATTTACATAAAATTCTAAATGCTGGCGTTATTTTTTCCTTCAAATAAAACATATTCATGAATGTTCCGTGATTTTTTGAAACAAGGAAAACTTGATTCAAGCGCCAAGCCAGCCATGTTTGATTCCCAAAAGGTCCCCGTGATGTGTTGGTCAACTGAAATTGCCGCCAGGCAGCTTGCTCTCGATATGCTTTGCAGGCTCGATGCTGCATTCTACAATGGTGGGCTCATGACCAGTTGCAAGTGGGGTATGTCATTTTTTTACCTGGATTGATCCGACTATTTATAGATTAGCTTTACTTCTTTCTCTACCGATTTTAAATCTTGCATTTGGGGTGTTAGCAGCAACCCTGTTTGCACGGGTGTGGGTTGAAAATCGGATACAAAAATGGGCGCACAGCACTCGTCATGCTTTGAATGAAAACGATTGAAACAGTTTGAAATATTCCCTCAGGGGGAGCAAGCAAATTGACCCATACAAGTAACTGCGAAATAATCTACTCTTTGGTCATTTAACATAGCTATGGAAAATCACCATTGTTGATTAGGGAAATCATGTTCAATCGTTTGTAAATGGGACATCTGTACCATAATTATGTCACAAATTACCGGAGGGTGACCCTAGAGTGGTTGGAGATGATTCGGAAATAGACCCTCTGGTAATCAAACATGGTCAATTGAAAAGCACCTATAAAAAGATATTCTCATGGGAAAATCAACTATAAATGGTGAATTGTCCATTGCCATGTATGATTACCAGAAGGTAATATATGCATATATATATATTTACTGGTTGGTGGTTTGGAACGTTTTTTAGTTTCCATAATATATGGGATGATCCTTCCCATTGTCTAATATTTTTCAAGATTGTTAAAACCACCAACTGGCACATATAATATATATATATATATATAATATTTATTTATTTATATCATATATTGGGAATCATCATCCCAACTGACTTTCTTTTACCCCAGGGGGGTTGAAACCACCAACCAGTGCATATATATATGTGTGTGTATATGTGCATAGCCCCATTCACAACTGGGATTTGCGGCCGATCACTGTGGCGATCTTTGGCTAGACGCACGAGCGAAATATGAGTTGACTACCGCCGGTAATGAGGCATAATAGCTATGGAAAACCATGGAAAAGCACCATGTTTAATGGTTAAATCATCGATCTTAACTTAATTGTCAATTTTCCATAGCATCGTAGTTCTGCTGAATGACCAGAGCGTAATGCAAGGAATGAATGAAAGTCCGATGACATCCAAGGCATGCAGATCAGGTGTCACCGAAAAGGGGTCGTGAAATATTCAAGTTTGGCAAGTTCCTTGACAAACTTCCCCCGCCGGCTTAGAATTCGAGCCACGGTGCCAGCTCAGGTTGGAGCAAGGACAGTTCCAATCGTGCGGTTCCTGATGTGCGCCCCGCCACGCTTGGCCACATGGGAGCTGCGCAGCGGATTCTGTCCTGGTACAGTATATAGGTCATCGAATTCAGATTGAGACATCTTGTGATCTGTTTCCATGAGCAAAGCACGTTAGCATGTTTGAGGTGAGCTGAATGCGCCATCCACATACGGTTTGAAATCGGTCCCCAAACTACGCTCAGTCACAAATGTTGTGTCCCAAACTGTTTGATGGTGTCCTGAACTGTTTGGTGGTGGTTTCAAATGCGCTTGATGATTCATCTCAACTTGCGGATGCTGAGAGCCACCATGGGCTCATATTCCTGTGAAAGAGGATCTGATCAGCCAGCAACCAGGTTCAATTTGTTGACGATATGTGTTTCCTTCTCCCCTGCTAGTTTAAGATAATTAACCCCAGCATTTGGGACCCCACGATAGATCCAAGGACATCAATTACAAAGCCGGGAGGCTTTCGATTGGGGCCTCCAAACAACCCCAAACAAGGGGGGGTGGTCTGTTCCACCATGTTCCATCTGCCAGGATGCTGTTCTTTGTGATCACCAAACCCATGAGCATCATCCTGGACTGGATGCTTGGGAGGGAAGTCGGCACCATCCACAGCCGTACGGTGCGGGGAACCCAGAAACCGAGCGGTGGCCGGTGAGGAAGAGTCCTGAAGGGTTGTTTTTCAAACCAAAACGGAGCTGTTTTCAGTAAGGAATTTTAAGCGACCAATGTTCTCAATGAATTTGGAGGCGTTTGGAGGCGTTTAGCCATACACGGAGATTTGTTCCATCCATTCTCTCTTTGTGGGAAAGAGATGAAAAGTCCACCGAGGGCGATCGCCAAACAGGTCTGTTTATGACATTTTTTCCATGTGCCAAAATAAAATTGGTGCATTTCTCCATCAATGCATTGCCACTGGCACGCTAGTCCCATTCCTATGGCCGCTGCAAATGTTCATGATAGACACCAGAGAAGAAAGGAGAAGGTGATCCAGAAATTACCACTCATTGCTGTATCATTAGAAGAAACTCGCAGCCATACCCTGGAGATGATTCAAAAATTTAGTTTGTCATTTTTTGTCGTTTTTTTTGGTCATGTTTTTTGCCATTTCAGTTTTGTCTGTCATTTTTTTGTCGTTGCTTTTGTCATTTCAGTTTTGTCTGTCATTTTTCGGTCATTTTCCGAAGAATTTTTCGATCTTTTTCACTATTTTTAAGAAAATTGCACCGAAATGACAAAAAAATGACAGAAAAATGACAAAAAAATGACAATGCTTCGAGAAATACAATTTTTGCAACCTGCAAAAGTGCCATTTTTTTTGTCATTGTTTTGGCATTTTTTTGGTCATTTTGTGGAAAATTTGTCATGTTTTTGTCATTTTGGTGCAATTTTCTCAAAAATAGTGAAAAAGATCGAACAATTCTTCGAAAAATGACAGAAAAATGACAAAACAATGACAGACAAAACTGAAATGACAAAAATACGACAAAAAAATATTAAAAAAATGACAGACAAAATGAAATGACAAAAAAGAACGACAAAAAAATGACAAAAAAAATACAGACAAAACTGAAATGACAAAAAAAATGACAAAAAATGACAAAAACATGACAAAAAAATGACAACCAAAAATGAAATGACAAAAAAAATGACAACAAAAACGACAAAAAATGACAAACTAATTATTTTGATTTTTTCAACCTTTGCCTGCCTAAGTTTCTTCTAACTGTATCAACGGATTTGGTTTTGAGGAGAGAGGCAAATTGAGGCAAAGAGTTGCTTCCGACGCCAGAAAGCGGTCTTCAGCGCACCCAAGAACACAATGGTCATGCATGAAGGAACGACATACGGCTGTGAAGTGTGCCATGCACCAACTCCACTGTTGTTTGTTGATCATCAAGGACCGGTCGATAAGGAATTCCTCGAAACGGTGATGAGTGGCACAGGCAAACAGAAGAAAATCAAAGCGAGTGGGGGTTTGGTCGACCTCACGGCATACACTATATGCATCTACATGCGTGTTTCTCGGTGGAAGACCAGTCCAGAGTAGAGAAAATCAAGCATCGAAGAAGTCTTGGTTCTGTAGAACATCTATATACTTCAAGATAACTATACTTACACAGCTGATGGGTACGCGTACAAATCAACCATGTCACTGATTTATCTAGCCGGCTATAGCCTATAGCTAGTTGTATCCTTTATCTTTGTGAGCAACCTCCATCCCCCAATTCAGGCCTCCAAACTGGTGAGATCTGTCATTCTCTCGAATGTTTCGTGCCTGCAAGTGCTATTTCCCATTTAAAGATCATTTAAAGAAGAAAAGACATTTGCCATTTCTGGCAGCATTCTTGTTGCCCAACAATGGGACTCCCCAAAAAACGCATGGGTTCCCACGGTCCCCCCCAGCCACACTTTCCGCTGACCAAGTCCCCATCCTCATCCCGTATGTATTTGTGTCAAAACAGGGTACCTCCCAAACTTGATGGTTTATCATGTTCTCATTGAGAAATTTACCAAAACTTGGGATCCATTTTCAGACTCACCCATCAAGCTCATATTGTTGGTTATATACGTTATAATATATATATATATGTGTGTGTGTGTGCATACATATCCCCTTGGGTACCACGGTTAAAATACAATGAATTCTCCGTCAAGTTCCCAGTTCACCATTTTTGCTGATTTAAAAGTTACCACAATATGTTTTGTTTTTTTTACCTCATTGTATCCCGTTATCCCATGATAACCATTTTTGCCCAGATCATATGCCTGTTTTGTGCCACCATTGATCTTGTTTTATCACCATTATAGCCAGTGAAAGTCACATCATGTTAATTATATACATATGTGTGTTTTGTTATATCCCCATAAGATCCATTCGAATAGTTTTTTCGTGCTTCAATCCCTAGTCATAGCAGGCAGCAAAGTGTCGACATGAAATCCGCAGAAATGATATTGTTGTTCCCATCCCACCATGCCATTGCAAGGTGATGCAATGCATACCCATTATGTTGCATTATGGCACCATTTTTGCTAGCTAAATCACTATGCTTCTTCCTCAAAAGCGTGGCTTCAATCCCCATTGTGTCATTTTTTGTTGGCTAATTTCATGTTTTTTTAGTTGGTCAAATCACCATTTTTGGTCGCTTGAATCTATATTTTCATAAGTTCAACCCACCAGGTTAAACTATAGTAAATCCCATTCAATTAGCATTTTTCTTGGTAAAATCCTAAGGTTTCCACGATTTTTCTTGGTCAAATCCCACTTAAATAGGTGATACCCCCAAAAATGGGATTATATATGTAATAATTAATGTATTATAAACCACGGATCCTTTCAGCGGGATGCACCCTTGGTTTCGCCAGGAGCTCATGGAGATGTTGAAGCTGCAGATCTCCCTGGGCGCTGTCTCGGCGGAGGAAGGGAAGATCGCCCAGCAGGCGGGCTTTCCTCATGGGGCCCAAGAGCTGGATGGTGAATGGAAAATCCGAGCTAGGAATGGATGAGAACCTGGGCTACGCCGATTACAAAGCTCCATCATCATCATGTAGAAATATGTATGGGAAATCCTGCCAGCTATCTAACTATTGTAGCCATAATAATGGGCATGGTCATCATTGGTATGGGAGTTCTGTAGTAGGATTAACATTGGGGCAATAATGGCTTATAATGACTTAATGACTAGTACATATATTAGAGTGTTATATGTACAGCAATCATCCTGAAGTAGACGGGTTTCTACCCCAGGATGATTTTCTATATATATATATATATTATAGGCATTATTCTCATACGTGCTTTTATGTGATTGAGTTTGTGGTTGTTCTGAAAGAACCCAAACAAATTGGGAAAAAATCAATTCATCAAAATCCTTAGTAGGAATTTGCGAGCTTCTATCTTTTTTTGGTGGTTGCTATGTATGTAATGTAATGCAATGCAATGCAATGCAATGTAATGTAATGTGATGTAATGAACGTATGTATGTAATGTATGTAAGTAAGTAAGTAAGTATGTATGTATGTATGTATGTATGTATGTATGTATGTATGTATGTATGTATATAAGTAAGTAAGTAAGTAAGTAAGTAAGTAAGTAAGTAAGTAAGTAAGTAAGTAAGTAAGTAAGTAAGTAAGTAAGTAAGTATGTAAGCATGTAAGTATGTAGTGTATTTAATGTAGTGTAATGTAGTGTAATGTAACTTAATGTAATGTAATGTAATGTAATGTAGTGTAATGTAATGTAATGTAATGCATGTATGTATGTATGTATGCATGTATGTATGTATGTAGTGTAATGTATGTAGTGTAATGTATGTAATGTATGTAATGTATGTAGTGTATGTAATGTATGTAATGTATGTAATGTATGTAATATATGCAATGTATGCAATGTATGTAATGTATGTAATGTATGTATTTATGTATGTATGTATGTATGTAATGTAATGTCATGTCATGTCATGTAATGTAATGTAATGTAATGTATGTAATGTAATGTAATGTAATGTAATGTATGGTATGTATGTATGTATGGATGGATGTATGTATGTATATATGTATGTATGTATGTATGTATGTATATATATATGTATGTATGTATGTAATGTATGTATGTATGTATGTATGTATGTATGTATGTATGTATGTATGTGTGGTATGTGTTTATGGTATGGTATGGTATGGTATGGTATGGTATGGTATGGTACGGTATGTATGGTATGTATGTATTAATGTAATGTAATGTTATGTAATGTTATGTAATGTTATGTATGTATGTATGTATGTATGTATTAGTGTAGTGTAGTGTACTGTAGTGCAATGTAATGTAATGTAATGTAGTGTATGTATGTATGTATGTATGTAAGCAACCTAATGTGATGTGATGTACTGTAATGTAATGTAACGTATGTATGTAATGTAGTGTGATTTGATGTAATGTGATGTGATGTAGTGTAAGTATGTACTGCATGTAATGCATGTATGTATTGTATGTAATGTATGTACTGTATGCAATGTATGTATGTAATGTCATGTAATGTAATGTAATGGTATGTATGTATTTATGTAATGAATGCATGCGTGCATGCATGTATGTATGTATGTATGTCTGTGTGTGAATGTATGTATGTATGTATGTATGTATGTATGTATGTATGTATGTATGCTTGTATGTATGTATGCATGTCTGTCTGTATGTATGTATGTATGGATGGTTGTATGTATGTATGTATGTATGTTTGTTTGTTTGTTTGTTATGCTATGTATGTTTTGCACTTTTTGAATGTTATGTATGTTATGTATGTCATGTATGTATTTATGTAATGTATGTAATGTATGTTATGTATGTTATGTATGTAATGTGTGTGTATGTATGTATGTATGTATGTAATGTATGTAATGTAATGTAATGTATTGTATTGTAATGTAATGTAATGGAATATAATGTAATGTAATGTAATGTAATGAATGCATGTATGTAATGTAAGTATGTTTGTATGTATGTAAATAGGTAAGTAAGTAAGTATGTAATGTATTTAATGTAATGTAATATGATGGAAAACAATGCAATGTAATGTAATGTAATGTATGTATGTATGTGTATAATATGCATGTATTTCTATTTATACATCGTATAATGTAATCATGGAGTAGATGGAATGCCAAAATTTAAAAAGCTAAAATTGCTTTTTGTTTTGAACAAATATTTTTTTTACTCCAAAGTGACCAAGTATATATAAGTTTTGATTTTAGAGATTTTTATTGGGTATTATCACTACTGTTATTGTTCTCATTGTTGCATAGTCGTTTTATTGTGGTTTTTTCATGTGCAACATCTATATGTTTGTTGCTTTTACATATCAAAAGCATGTCTATGTGTCTATGTATGTTATGTGCATGTAGATATGTACTAGGGGGTGCTGTTGAGGTTACATTTGGGTATAACCATGGTTATAAACCTAAAACCCCCATAAGGTCGTAAGGTGGTATATAACCCCTGTAGCGACAGCGACGGCTATATATCGACTTAGAACTGAAACTGCACTTCCAACTTGTTTTCTACTCATGGGTGATTCGAAACTGTTGGGGGATGGTATCAATATTCAGATGTCGTAGATCAATGTAGTTGAAAAGGGAGAGGTTTGATCAGTTCAGGTTAGAACACATAGTCTCCTCCAGCGGCTCAACTGGCAATCGAAACTCATCATTCACCCTGTATGTTAAGGTGTATGTCAAGAAATATATGTATATATCATACACATACCCCCATTCCCAGAAGAATTTTGACACACACACATGTATATATATACACCAGTTTACAGATGTCCTCAATCTAATTGTAAAAAAAAGACTGGTTCTCCCTGGTTCAACATGTATCATATACCCGAAAAACATCGTCCCTGTCTAAACTCCAATCTGAAGCAGGTTGCAAAATGCCTGTCCTGATGTGTGGTCCCGTTTGCTGTTGAGCCACGCCCTGATACGACAAAGAAATTGGGAAGGAAGGAACATTTTTTGAAACAAATCAAAGTGGGTGAGACAGCCCAAATCCCGCAGCACCATGCTGAAGAATGAGATGACTGGAGGTGGAGTTCCATGACATCTTCCGTGATAGCTGAGCCTGGCCAAGCCGTGTTGCCACGCCCCGTCCTTTGCGGCTTGGACCCCCGAAGGTGGAAACAGCATTCGAGGAAGAGAATCTTGAGCGAGCCGAGGAGCTGCCACAAGAATCCCAATCGTGGGTGATAATGGCTGATGCGCAGCGGATTGCACAGGTGGTGGAGGATCTGCTCTCAGCACGCATCAGCGTCCAGAGCTGACTCTTTGTCCACAGCTCATCAAGCAATTGGTCTGTGCGGAGTAGCTCGTGCTGATGAAACTTTACCTCTTTGAGCCTTGCCTTCTGGTTTTGGTAATGGCCTGGTTGTTGAGCATGTCATCAGCCATACAGGAGAACTATGGAATGATCTGGTGGACTATCTTGCGGATTTTTTTAATCTAATTGACTCTAGCTTATTTGGCCTTTTGTTTTATGTGCTATGACCCTCAAATCGGATGATGATCCTTGACGAGCATACTTCGGAGTTGGAACCACCAACCAGTTCTTGGCATCGCCATTCTATATGGAACTTGTATTCTAATTGGAAAATATTGGAAAACCATGATATTCGCATGACACACATGATATCCCCTATTCAGAATGGTCCACGGCAGGTGGCTGAAGGGGCGCTCAGCTTTCGAGACAAGTCAGTCGGGGTCCTCAGGTCTCTTCAGGTCCTCAAGTTTCCCGTTGGCGCCCCAGTAATAGATGGGTACGAAGCCCTGCAAAAAATATAGGAAGAGATACCAAAATACATAAATAATACATGGGCTGTAAAACATGTTTTGCCACAGGAAGAGGTACCAAAATTAGCTACTGTAAAAGTTTTAGTTTTTGCGCAATGAAAGGATTCGCCATTTACGGAGCCATTATTATAAACCCGGGGATTCAACCCGCACATGAGCGGACGGGAGAGAACCCAAGACTGGGGATGGGTGCTCTCGGTATCCTTGAACGTTTTCCTGGATCAAATTGTCAGAGATCACCCCAACAAAAAATGGATGGTAAACCAAGACATTTCTTAGACAAGTGTTTTGAATCATCAGATAATTACTTACTATTTCCTACCGTTTGGCAATGAAACATGACAATAGAAATCCCTCATTCTCTCATTTAGTTCAATCATTTTCCCATTTGCATGTCCATTTAATTCGGGGATTTCCCAGCCACGCTTGATGACACCACATGGTATTTCTCCATTATTATCCCATTAAGATTCCAATCGTAACCCATTAATATTCCAATCATATCCCGTCTATATATATTCCACCAATATTCCATTGATATACCACCAATATCCCATTGATATACCACCATTATTCCATTCATATTCCACCAATATTCCATTCATATTCCACCAATATTCCATTCATATTCCACCAAAATTCCATTCATATTCCACCAATATTCCATTCATAAACCACCAAAATTCCATTCATATTCCACCAATATTCCATTCATAAACCACCAAAATTCCATTCATATTCCACCAATATTCCATTGATATACCACCAAAATTCCATTCATATTCCACCAATATTCTATTCATATTCCACCAATATTCCATTCATATTCCACCAATATTCCATTCATATTCCACCAATATTCCATTCATATTCCACCAATATTCCATTCATATTCCACCAATATTCCATTGATAAACCACCAAAATTCCATTCATATTCCACCAATATTCCATTTATATACCACCAAAATTCCATTCATATTCCACCAATATTCCATTGATAAACCACCAAAATTCCATTCATATTCCACCAATATTCCATTCATATTCCACCAATATTCCATTCATATTCCACCAATATTCCATTCATAAACCACCAAAATTCCATTCATATTCAACCAATATTTTATTCATATTTCATGTTTATCCTTATTCAATCACATAAAAAATTTGTATTTTCCCTTGAACTGACCTGGGGCCACTGGGCCACTGGGCCACTGCCTTTCCCCTCCAAAAACTCTCAAGGTGGGCGACATTATGACTCCGTTGGAGGACGCCTTGCTCTCAGGAAATCTGGTCATTTTGGCCTGGTTTGCATGATAGTTTGGCATGGGTTCATATGGTTTTAGCATGTTTTAGCACGGTAAAAATGGGATGATAATGGGATGATAGAACTATGATAATGGGATGATAATGTTTTAGCATGTTTTACAATAATGAGATGATATTAGAACTAACTATGGAAAATGACCCAGCAGAATCGATGATTTGCCGATAAAAAAATGTGATGCCCATTTATTTTCCATAGCAAAATGTTAAGTCTGGGTGAAAAAAATTGACCAGGTATTACCCAAATTTGCAAATCTCGATTTACCTAGATTTATCCAGGTTGATTAAAAATCACTTGGTAAATCTAGGTATACCTGGGTGAATGATTGGTACATGGGTGATGTTTTCGTGGAAGAACCGACATCGTTGTGAAGCCCCCAGGACTTTGTGAAGTGGCTTGTTACCCTCACGAATGGTTCATCCAAATGCAAGTGAGTTCTAGTGGTTCAATGTGTTTTGTTTACAGCAGATGCAAGCTTAGCCCCATGCAAAAAGCCGCTCGCAGGGGCGGAGCTTCACATTGAGGCGTATTTTCTCAGCAGCGATACGAAGCTGGGATACGATTCCATCCGGGAGATCTTTGAGACCGGATACAGATTCTCGGCTGAGCATCCTGCTAGGGTGACGACCTAAAAGAATGGTCCAATAAAGCTACAGATTCAATCAGTTTTAAGAAGTCCACCATCCTATTTTGAGGGTTTAACGGATTAACCGTTTTTTCAGGCATAGGCTGAACCGTACCCACTCAATGCAGTTGTTTCTCGAGTTAAGGGGAATCGTTCAGAAATCAAGGCCCCAGCTTTGATTGAATTTGGTTTCCAAAGGAAAAACAACACACAGCTGCATGGATTCTGAAATATCGTTGATAGCTTCCGATTGGCATATGAGGTTGCAATGGAAAGTCACCATTTGGAACAAAAACATGATCTACATTCAAGAGAGATTTCATGGTTGCCATTAAAACCTAAATGTTTGACAGAGGGTATCAAGAGGGATGATGATATATGATGATCTCTTTTTTTTGCAGCGAGAAGGATCAATAAGGGTCCCATTTTTTGGCACATTCCAACACTTTCCCGAGGCCGTATTCCCATCTATGGCACGGACAAGCACCAATATCGAGGGCTTCTTTATACCAAGGACATCGCGGCCTGGGACCAGATTTGAAATTGGCTGCGCTGAGTTAAAGCTGCGCGTTTCAGGTGGTGTACCCAGAAACCTGGGTAGGATTTGGCATCTGAGTCCTGGACTAGTTACCAGATCCTCTTGAAGATTTGGTCCTGATGTTTCGCCATGAAACATCTCCTTCTGGATTGGTGGTTGAAAAACTTGACCTTCTCCTACCAAGAACATCCGAGAACTGATGTTGTAGAGGAACTGTCAGGAAGCCTGTTTCAAACATGATTTCGATGTGTTTTTTCTCTGGGGAAATCTTCGATGGGCACATTATGAGTACTGTGGTACTTTTTGTCTTTCTATGTTTTTCTAGAGTTCTTGGTAGGGTGCCTAAGATTATCCATTATTTAAGGGAAGAGCATCCCCCAGTGTTTCCGTTCGTTTTTCATCTCGCAGTCGCCGTCAAGCTTTGTAGGATCTTATGTTGGCAGACCCAGAGGACGAGATGAAGGCTCGAAGTAGTTGTCCGCGGGACCACAAAAAAACCTGGCACTGGGCCAGAGATGAGCGTCCCCTGAGATTTGGAGACCAACCACAACTTGGGATTTACGCAAAAAGGTACGATTTTTCAACCGCGCATTTTTCACGGAGATACAACCACCAGCAAGAAGGGTACTGACTGAAAAAAAGAGTGACTTCACGACGCCGGAAATACTCCAGGAACCACTTATCTTTAGGTAGTTAAATATGGCAATGGGAAATCCACTGGCATTCTAAATGCGAAAACCAACTAAAAATGCGGGAATTCCATTGCCATGTTTGATTCCAGTACCGGATTGTATTTCATAATCCAAGAGTTATTGTTTTTGTTTAGTACTTTTATTATACCCAAGTATACCTAAGTTATATTTGATTTATCTATGGATTATTATTGGCTAAGTAATGTGTACTTATACTCCAGTTATATATATATATATGGGCTACCCTCGTAATCAAAGACGGCTAGCTGGAAATTTCCCCAACTAAATGGATGATTTCCAGCCATGTTTCATTGGAGGGTAAATCCATCAATTATCATTAATCACCCGGATGAAATGTTAATCCACCATGATTAATTACAAAGTACAAATTAATAATGGATCACTAGTCAATTACACATGATTCACCACTACTCACCATTATTCATACCACATTCACCATTAACCACCACATTCACCTTTTTTTCCCACCACTAACGTTACTACAACCCATGAACCACGAAGCATGGCATGGCTTCGGATCGATCCGCCGAGGTGGGGGACTTCATCCAGATCTTTAGCCGCAAGGCACGGAAAGAGCATAGGTCTCTAGGTATCCATGGTATCTTGATGTATCTTGGATAGGTAACCACTCACCAAAAAAAACTCATGGATCATAGAAAAATGTTCATATTTTCTCATTGAAAAAAGGGTAACAGAGGGTAACCCAGCAAATTTGGGGATGTAACCACCAACAAAGGAAATCTGGATGATGCTTTTGGTTGCCAAAGATGTGCCTCTCCTTCCAGTGGTGCACCCTTGTCCTGTTGAACGTTGCTCGGGATGAGCAAATTTATTGGTGGATACCCTTTGAATCTAACCTGAGGACCATATTCATATGTTTTTCCCTTATTGCTGAGCATTACCGGATTAAAATAGGGAAACAACACAATGTTATTTTATATATATATATATGTGTGTGTGTACGCATGTATGTATATAATATATGTATATAGGTTTTACTTCAGGTATGAGTCAAAGCTTCTTGCTTGATAGGCTGCCATGTTCACACCTTCATATTGCTTGGCACCCCCAACGTGTAACCGGCCGTCGTCACTCGTCAGCGTAACCGACGACCAGGTTGAAACATTCTTCGAGGAGAGACGGGGCGCCTGGCAAGGATGGTTTAGGGATCAAATAGATACCCTTTGGATCCCTTTGGTAAAAATGGTTGTGGTGATTTCATAGTGATTTATGGTGATGTAATTGAGATTTACCCTCTGGTTTCTTAAAATATGGTATCCCCAAGTCACCATAGGTTTCAATGGGGCGCCCTCAACCTTGGATAGAAGACCTTTTTCCCCATGTGCGGCGTAACTTAGAAAACAAAAATGTCATAAACCATCCCCAAGTCATCACCATTTAAATCGGGTGCGATTTCAACCATCCCCAAATGGTAGGTTTCTGTCATTGGGCTTATCACATTATACTCTCAAAATTGGATGAAAGGACAATCGAACCCCAAAACCTTGCAGCCTGGCTGGAGGTTTTTCAGCAAGTTTCCTGCAGATGTTCAAGGTGAAGAAAAGCACAAATTCTGAGTTCCAGAGAGAGAGAGAGAGAGAGAGAGAGGGACTTGAACAGTGGTGCCTTCCAATGATATTGACATATGGGGATGGGTTCAAATCCTATTACTATCATATGTGGGGCATAACCATCCATTAACCAGCCCTAAACCAGTGTACCATTCGGGTGCCGGTGCTCCAGGGTCGGCCAGGAGACAAAGCTGGTGCAATGCCTTAATGCCTTCAAGAAAGGGGGCACCCATATGGGACTGGTCCGCAAGGCGAGTTTGACGGAGAAAATGCTTTGAGAAGACAGAACTATTGTTCCATCAATAGGAGTTTGTCATCAACATGGGTATTTAGCCGCCAATTCATGGCTCATGATCTTTGCACCTGGGATCCTTAAGCTTAACCACCATTAAGCAATGGATTTCATGGTGCCCCTGAGCTCTGAGGTCACCAGCGGTGATCATCGACATTTTTGGTGATGAATCAGGAGATCATGTCCCCACTAATCCATGTGGTTAAAATAATGTTAAAAACAATGCCATAAACCACCCGTTTGGGAATGGTTTATAGCACCTATAACAATGGTGATGACTGGGGGATGGTTTATGGCATTGTTTTACCCACATTCATATCCATTACAATACTATTGTATGAATCCCCTTAGTCCCACTATAGTCCCACATATCTTTAAGGACATCAGTTCAGTAAGACTGAAGTCAGGTCGCCCGGCAACATTTGGCTCCGTAGCAACAAAGGCGCAACAAAGTTGGACGCTCTTGCCATGGCAGGGTTGCCCCTGGAGAACCCTTGTTTGGAGGAACGAATGGATGAGATACGAGAAAGGCTTGACCAGATTGGCGCAGATCTCAAGGGCCAGAAGGAGTTGCAAACAGAGCCTGGGGCCTGGCTCATGGGTTTTTCCAATTTGAATTTTGATCCCAGTGACTGTGCCCGGGAGTGTTGCCATTGAATACCATGGATGGTATCATAATCCATGATGCTTTGGGACAAGAGCATCGCACACAATCTTACGTTCGTATCACTTTGCCAAAATTCCATAAGTTTACCTTCCAATTTTCCCTATGAAATGACTTGGTGTTCTCCGAATTTGGTGACAAGCCCATGTCCATTGTTCATTGGTTGAATCACCAATTTGATCATTACAATCTTCATTTTGGCTGGCTAAATCCCAATTCGCAGATGTTTTCGTAGATGCTTAAATCATGTTAAAGAATGTTAAGCCACTCTTTGTGCCTTTCTTTCTTGATCATATCCCTTTTCTCTCCCTCGTCCCTGGGATGGTTTCACCTAGCTGGGCATCAAGCGAACCTAGGAACTCCTGAAGTCCATCAAGGATCTGACGAGTTCCCTTGGAGTCAGTCGAACGTTGACAACAGGGAGTCAGTCGACGAAGTTTGCGAAGAAACCCTGGATGCAGCGTGCTCAGAGCTTGCAGGAATTGGAGTCCAAAATGTACCTTGGATTTTTGTTACTTCTTTTTTGGCCATTTTGATAGGGGGATTCTGAAAGATTTTCTGCCCACGAAGAGTCTATTGTTGTGGCCGTCTTGGGATCCCGAGGGGATGGGGCCGTGTTGGGCCATGGCGGCCACGGAGTGTTGCAGAAGTGACCGCGTGTTGTTTTCATGTTACTGGTGAATGCTGTTGAATGGAACCGGGCAAGAAACTACCACAAGGATACAAAAGTGATGATATATGCCTATCCCGTATGTATAGATATATATATATATATATGTGTGTGTGTGCATGCCTAATATGTATATATTTACATGTTTACATACATACCATACCATACCATACCTTTCATAGCTTTCATACCTTTCATACCTTTCACACCTTACTTACTTACATACATACTTACTTACATACATGCATAGATACATGCATAGATACATGCATAGATACATACACACATACATACATACATACATGCATGCATGCATGCATACATGCATACAAGCATACATACACACATGCAGAGATACATACACACATGCACACATGCATGCATGCATACATACAGAGATACGTACATTACATTACATTAACATTACATTACATTAGATTAGATTACATTACATTACATTACATGCATTACATACATGCCATACCAGTAGTACCGCACAAGGCGGTGGCGGAAGTTTCAAAAAATAGGAAACCTATAGGAGAGATTGGTTGTTGTGAATCAGGGGTGGCAGAGCGAATCCACTGATGGACCGAAAGGTGCTTGAGGTCTCCTCTCTTTCTCTCT